AGGTGAACACTGACCCTCAAATACGTCTTTGTGGCATTCCAGGCTCGAGGTAATGGTACACCCCCCCCCCCCTGGGATTACCACAAACGCAGAAAGAAACAAATCATCAAAAAATGCCTGTCGATGGAAGGGTCTCACAGAGACCCAGCAGACAGTCATCTAAGCTTTACCAGGGAAAACTGCACAAGAGGACAAAACTCTAGAAAAACATAAAAGGAAATAACAGAACAAAGCATAAAACCAAAAAAAAATTAACCCCAAAACCATCCAGAGAATGGCTAAATGTTTAAAAATCATGTACTCTCATATGGTATTCCCAGGAGGTGGAGCCAAAATCAACCCAGGCTTTATGAGGATATAAATGCATAGCAAACAAACAGGTGGGGTAATTAGAAATTCACAATAATAAGCCAGTCAGAAATGCACAAATTGGTTCAGTATAGCAGATGGGACAAATAAAAGTTTCATGGAGGCGGAAAGAATGTAAAACAGTGTGGCCAAAGCATCAGCACACTGTAAAACTGTTCTGTTCCCATTATGTCAAATAAAGGCAGGGTTTGTGATCAGAAACCACAACAGAACAGTAAGAATCACGCCTGCACAAGGTGGAATGAGATGAAGCTGGAACGAATGGTCCTCCTCGAAAGGATCCCCAGGAARCGCCAGGTGGAAATGGCATGCACGAGGTGAAGCCGCAGCCCCTCGCCGGTCCAGGTGAAAGTGGAACATCACCTCCCCATGAGAAACAGCATTGTCCCTGTGAAAAAAAAGAAACTCACAACAGAGAGAGAGAGAAAAAAATTAGAAAAAAATCAAAAAAACACTCAGACAGACATTCCCCCGTGTGTGAAAACTGATAATGATTAATAAATCATTAAATTGTAGTTCCTAAGAAACTACAAAACTCAAACACATCAGTTCTCCATCTTATCCCCATTTATAAATAAAACCTCTGTTCTCTGAACAAAGCCAGGAGGAAACCAGATGCCATATTCTGTATACAAAACTGCACTCATTTCTGCTCCTATTAGCATTTATCCATATTTAGCAGTGTAATACAGTAATCTGGCTCCCAGGAACCTGCAGTTTGCAGGTTGTCCCATTTATGCAATCATAGAAGTAAATTAAAGTCCTGTTTGGGAGAACTGAAGACATTATCACCTCACACACGTCTGACATGCACCCCCCCCCAGCCCCAAGCCGGGTATCCCACGCCCTTCTGTCTCTCCAGGCGAGAAACAGCGAGCCCGAGCGAACCCGGGTCAGGGTGCTGAAACAGATTCCCACCAGGCATCCAGATAAATCTCGGCGGGAGATAAAAAAACCTGTAAGTGGTTGGTACAACCTGAAACAGCATCGTAGATGTGCCAAAATGGATTGTTGTAAGATAAGCTGGTGTACGAGACGCGTGCAGCGCAAATGCAGGGAGGAGGGTAGACACCCCCCCAACCTCACTAGAGCGCTTTTTAGACTGTTTGGCAACAACATGTGGGCAAAAGGGTCAGATCTGAAATACCCCACATGTGTAAACAAAAACATTCGTACATGAA